CGCCTTTGTACTGCAGACTTGGCTCTCCTGTGGGATCTCATTGGCCGTGAGAGTGAAAATTGTTTGCCTGTGTTCTTCTAACAGGCATCAAACTTTTAGCAATATCCTCAAAAGCTAGAATGAAATCTGTCCAATTACTATCTGGACCAATGCTATTTTGGACTGGGATTCTGATTGTGCTGGGTAGCTGCCAAAGTACTTTTTCAGCTACTTCAGATGAGTCTGCATTTGGTCTAAATGATCTAAACCGCTGTTGTTGTCTAGAAGCCCATTTAACACAATCAGAATGGATCTCTGGTTTGAATCTGTCTCTCATGAATAGTCTCTCCATGTAAGACCTCCATTGAGCATTACCAAACCTGGTCTGAATAGCTTGTTTCCATTCCTCCCAAGTTTTATTATGGCTACCATCTTCTTTCATGATATCCATAACCCATTGGCGAGCTACACCAGTAAATACAATTGATAATTTTGATGTAATCAAGATATCTGGCATTTGTAAGCGCACTGGCACTGCATCAACCCAATCAATAAACTCCTGGTGATTGTATTCACCTTCTCCGCTAAAAGTATGCCAATCCTTGACATTAGGATATTCTTTCCTTAGTTCTTTCCTGATTGATGCTTGACGCAACAATTCTGTGGTTGTTTCTAAATCTACCATTGAATTGTCAGGATGCAACACAGTGCTTTGACCTATGTGTTGAGATAAGAATGGATTATTTCCAAGGTTAGGGGTAGTTTCTACTCTGAACCTTGATCCATTATCTTGCCTGTCAAGGTGAGGAGGTACACTTCTCACATTTCTTGTTGAACTGCCTTTCATGGGAGTTTGGCTGATACCTTCAAAATTTCTCACCATTGAGCCAATACCAGAACTGCTCCGCAACATATAGCGGTATCGGAGCGGTATTGGAGCGGTTTTTACACCGCTATATTGACCACTATACGTAGCGGTGGCTCCGCTCCGCCATCCCAAGGCGAGAAAACCATTAGCGGTCTGACCGCTCCGATATGGGAAGGGTCTGAGGGCACTTCAATATGCCTTTTAGCCCTTATAGCAGCGATATATAGCGGTATCGGAGCGGTAAAATACCTTCCGCTCCGATACCTTGTGATTTTTTTTTAAAAAAAAATATCGGTCAAGTATCGGTGATCTCATAGCGGTTACTCCGCTCCGATACCAAAATGGGTTGAAATCCATAGCGTATCGGAGCGGTTCTGGTGTTGATTGAGCCAACTCTATTTGTAGGTAAAGTACTGTTTTGTACTTGTTCCTGCACTTGCTCTATGTCTTGCTTATTGCTATTTGTCATTTTCAGCAACATCTTTTCAATTTTATCTAGTTTACTATTAGTACAGTTTTCAAACTTTGCTTGACTTTCTTTAATTTCTTCTAGACTTCTTGCAAGAAAGTCTTGAAAATTACTCCGCTGGATTTTCTCATTTTCAACCGCAAGTGTTTGGTCTTGGATGAATTTGTTCATTTCATCGCTAGACAGACTGGTGTTCTGATGAAACTTGTTGTCAAGTTTTTCATACAACTTATGATGAAGATTTTCTAACAGCGTAGTTAGAACTTGATCATGTTGAACTACGGTGGGTCTCTCACTCTCATGATTTTCACAAAACTCATTCAAAGTATTTTTGAACTCTACAATATTCTCATTAATATCATTCAGAGAAAACAAAGAGGATGAATTTTTATCTAAAAATAAATTCAAAGACTCTGAAGGAAATTGATTTAGAAAGGAAACAAACTTTTTATTCAAACTAGAAACATCTTTGTTATCTTGCCTGATAACCTTATAAAGTTCTTTGTATTGAGCATTAACAACTTCTAAAAGATGAAATTCTTTTTTTAATACTTCTGAAAATTTAGAACCTGATTCATTACTAAAATCTCTGATATTGGAATCCAAAACTTCTAAATTACCATTAAATACTTTCAAAAATTCCTTAAGGGACTGATTAAATTCATTAGAAACATTTATCTGTTGTTCAAAATGTCCAAGATAATTGGTTATTTCAGTCATCATTGGTAAAATGAATTCACTCTGAGTTATTTCTGAGAACTTACGTAAAATAACTCTTTCTTGAGTACTCAGTGTACCTAAATCTTTTTCTCCGGGCCTCTTTGACTTCTGAAGTTTTGCAAGAAATGACCCCTGTTCAAAAGAATCAGCGCTTGGCCTGCTTCCACTTGAGCCTGGTAATAGACCTGAAAGTCCTGCTGGCTTGAGTTCACTCAGCAGTGGTTGTACTATTGAGCCAAATGCCCTTGGTGTGACCTCGGATGGGAGTTCCGCTGGTGGTTCATGGCCGTCTTCAGCTGCTGAGCTTCCGGTTTGACCACTCTCAGACTGAAGATTTGGATCATCTACTGAGCTTGAAGGTCCTGACACTGATGGTCGTACTTTGCCAACTTCTGTTGTCAACAGAAGGTTGGTTGAGTCCTTTTGCATAGCCTGAGTGGTAATTGAAAGCTTACCTCTGCCTTCATTTACCCTTTGCTTACTGCTGGCTGTTGATCCAGCCCTGGATCCAATCTTTGACCGTGGTCCATCAGTTCCGGGCCGGCTAGCACTGGTTGACTGGAGGTTACCATAATGCTCCGGCTCATTACGGCTACGAGGGTGAGGTGGTGGATTCCAATCTGCCATTGAGACAAAGAAGCAGATGAGAAATGTTTTAATAAGACAATTTTAAAACAAATTTGTACTCTTCTATTCAATTTCAAGAGAGAAAGTAATATATATTTCAAAGAAGTGAATAACCTCCTTTGAAATTTTTCTGCGGTTGAAGACAAGCTACCCAAGACCGTAACTTGAGGCGATTATTCTAGATTGAAGTTGGAATCTTTTTTCTCAATTCTTTAGTTCCTTAGTTTGTTTACTTAAATTGAATCAATTCCAGATTACAGCAAAGTAAAAGGAACTTGTTTTTAGATCAACAAAAATAAGAAAAGTTGACCAGAACTTAACAACAATGCTATATAGGACTTGATGATGTATTCAACTTTTATCAACCTCTGTTGCCAGAGCCAAATTGATACAAACAGATTAGAGTTGAAACTGAAGTTAATGCTTTTAAAATGAATCTAAATACAAAGTTACACTTGAGATGGTATCTATATACTCAAGTTGTTTGATTACTACAATAGTCTTTTGAGTCCAAAACTCAATTGATTTACCTTAAAAACTATTGATCAATTGGTGGATACAGTCTAAAGATAGGCAATATAATAAGGAAGGGATTTCAGTGTTTTTATCTCTCAAGAATTGAGAATGATTGAGGTATGACACAATTAAAAGCTTACTATTAAGGTCACAATCTATTCTCAATTGACTTCTGATCAAACTATGGAATGATAGACTAAAATCTTTTCAATTGAACAGATCAATGAAAACAAGATAAGGTGTAATTAGAAATCGGAAAAATCAAATCTGATGATTTATGACTTAAAAATGGATAGAATTACTCACTGGAAGTCTTTCCAAAGTTATAAGGAAGGAATAACTGAATCGCTTATAGAGATTGATAATGGATCCTTGATCTAATTTTGAGATGACTTTCCTAACTGATCAACAAACGATTATCAACTTATGAGTTTAGATCGTTGAAAAAATAAGGAATGTTCAACAACAATCAGTTATTAGTTCACTAGTACTTTTAAGACAGTTTGTAAATTGAAAGGCACTAACACACCAAGCTTTTGGTTAATATCTTTCCTGGATTCAAACAGCCTTTGATCGAGTCGGCACTATCAAGGAACAGAAGTATATTAAAAGGAGATAATCCAATTCGCTTCTATTGAATGTTTCTGATTGGATATGAATATGTGAGTTCTTGATCCTTTTAAGCTGAGTATGATCGTACTGATTGTTCTTCCTTCTTTGCAGGTTACGTCACTTCGGTTGGAGTCCCGGTGAATTCGATTGATCGATCGTTGAGGTAGGTGGGTGGTGTCTACGTGATTGAGATGTCGAAATTCAAAGGAATTCGAAATTCAAACAATGGACAACAGTGCCGTTGTGGCTGTCGGACCACGCGCGGGGCTTTTGTACAATTACCACGTGTGGTAATTGTACAAGGTCACCTGATGTAATATATGTGTAGTTGTAATGAAAGCCACGTGTTTGGCTTATTACACACCACAAATAAAAGGATTAACAATATAATTCACTATTGAGTTATATGTAATGAAATTGTATATGGATCAAATATTGATCCTGTTTCACAAAAAAATAAAAAAATGCGAAATTTGGAAGGGGGGAAAGAATTAATTATTTCCTCCAAGTTATTATCCTAAAATCAAAAATGCTGAGCTTTCCTCAGTTTTTGCGATTAAAGGTTGATTGAAACAGTCACATAAATGGAATGAAATGTTTTTTTTTGTTATTCTTAATGTTCTAAATGAGACTGAGCTATAACACACCCAAAAAAACAATCAAAAGGCTCTAAAACCCAGATGAGGCCCCCAAATGTGAGCCTACTAGCGTCTGTTAGGCTAGTAGAGTCAATAAAAGAGTTGTAGAAGGTCTGATAATTTCTACAAAAGTCGTGTAGATCAATATCTACTAGTATGAATGGGTATAGACTTGGGTGTAAGAGCTTTACTTGCAATAAACAAGTAAAGACTACAGTCAGTTGACCTTTAAACAAAGGCTTTAGTCAAGGGATTTTGGGTTAATTATTGTCTTTACAATAATTAAATATAAGAGCAACTGACGCGCAGTTCTCAATCCTAAATTGATCCTCTTCTTATTCAAAGAAAGGTCAAAGAAGGTGGTGTTACAGTCTATTATAACACCGGGAACTTTACACTCTGACTAATAGAGATTTCCCCGTAGATTTAGAGTTTCTTATATCAGATGAATCCTAAATCTGATATGAGCAATACTCAAGGACTACTTCCTTACAAGTAATTCCACCAAATGGATATTACCAGAAATACTGATTATAGTGTCTAATCAGAAACAAAGTTGAATGAGCACACAGAATAAGCAACAAGACACAAGGTTTGAGGTTCAAGGTTCGTAGAATCAGGCCTTTAAAGTTTGTTAATTGATAAGCAAAGTTTAAAGGTTCTAGGAAGATGAATAAAAGCAAAGTTGTGTAGTTGTTGAATAATAATGTGATGATGTTCCCCTTCTCAATTTGGTTGGATTTCCAGGGTTTATATAGTCTGAACCTTGGAAATCTTTGGACTACAGGTGCGCACAAATTGTGGTTCTATGGTTAGGTTAATTACAGTAAGACAGTTACTATTGGATTATAAG